GCCCTAGCAGCTCGACGTCGAGGCCACCAATGCCGCAACCAAAGCGAAGGAGGTGACCCTTGCGATCATGAGCGCGGACTTGACCAAGATGAGCAAGAAGACGAGGAGCTGGTTCGAGGCCAGGCAGAAGGAGATGTTCGACGAGGATGGCATGAACTAGGTCGTCCGATCGGCCGTGGCCCTTCTTTTTGGAGGCTGACATGGGTGCCGCCCGCTGCGCCGCTGCTGTGTGCCGGCGAGAAACAGATTCATTTTGGAGGCTGGCTGTGTTGCCGGCCGCTGGCTTTGTTGTCGGCGTGAACTAGGGCCGCTGGTATTTGAAACGTTGTTCTCTTTGAAGGCGGACAAGATGGGGCCAAAGGATGCGACCGCGCGCTGGGCGCACGGCCACCTCATCTCAGGACAGGCCCGGACACAACCCCATCGCCCTACCCAAACGGACAGAATTCGGGCAAAACAGACGTCTGTTTGGGATCGCGCGGTAAAGTTGGCCTTAAGGAAAACTAAAAGGCGCAAGGAATAGATGGAGGCGTGTAGGCTGTAACTTGAGGGGAATCGATTAATGCAAGAGAATGTGGCCGAGGAGAAGCAGTTCATGATGTTAGAGGCAAATGCCATGGGTGGTTCGGCAAGAACATTTTGGGAGATGAGGCGATCAGAGATCATGGCTTCTAGCTAGAATGCCACGGTGCGGGCACACGGGAGGAGGCATTGGTGCCCGAGACATTGATTTTTCATGTAGGTTAACTTGTGCATCATGATTGTTTTGTTGAACTTCGGTCCTGCATGATGCTTTACTTCTGTTGATGCTTTTGGAGCATATGTTACGTTTGACATGTTGAAGCGTGTAATGTTGAAGTGCGTTTTTTTTTCTTTTGCGAGGGGAAGTGCGGAAAGTTTAACTTTTATCTATGTGGAATTGAGGATCGACTAGACTGTATATATGTACAAATATAGGAGAAATTAAGGACAGTATAACCGCACCTAAACTGAGCCCTCACAGCGGAGTGAATTATAGAGGTCATAGAGTGCACTCTAAAGCGTTTTGGAGGCTGCCGTTTTGTTTTTTGTTTGCTGATTCTTACGACAACATTGTAGACTTGTCCTTCCCGTGACGGCCACCACTGACCGAAGCCTGTGGTGTCTGGCGACAACATTCTAATCCTCTCCCAGCATGAACAATCCATCCATTCTTCCAATCCAGTGGTCTGACAAATAAAAAAGGGCTACTGAGACATGCTACAAACTGATAACGTAGTGCTTATGCTTACAATGGAATAAGTGAGGGTGTTGTTCTTCCATTCCAGTAACCAGACAAATAGAAGTATTACCAGATAACTTCGAGGTCATATTAACTCACGAACATCTGTATCATTTATTTCCCACTGAGAAAGTGACACATAACGATTTCACTAATTACATTACTGGAAAAAAAAATACAATCCTGAATCTATGGCACATGGAAAAATCAATCATCGGAAATTTAGTGACCGTTAAGCTTTAACCATAAACGTGTTCATGAGTATATCATGTCCAACCACTTGCTTCGAATGGAATTTGCTTAGCTCTCCACATGGTGGGTAGAGAAAACAAAACTATGCTCCTCACACCCAGATATATTTACGATCTGCTCAGGGATCTTACTTGCTCATAAAAGACGAGATCCTATCAGGGTCTTTTTTAATTCCATCAGCACCACATAAGCCACTGCTCACATCGACTCCATTTGGCTTCAGAACAGAAACTGCTTCACAAACATTATCTGCCTGAAGGCCTCCGGCCAATAGCCAGCCATTCTTGCTTCTAACAAACGGCATGTGGAATTTCTGCCAGTTGAATCCCTTGCCGCTGTAAAACAAAGAAGGCTATATGTCCTTATACATTTTTTTAGAAGCGATTAGACTTATCTTAGTGGCAACTTTGAGAAGCAAAATATGCAAGTAGGTTCATATACTACAAGAAAACTTCCACTAACAATAGAGTATGCAAGATGAAGAACATAAGTAAATGTCGATGTAATATGCATTCTGAAGTCAGTAAAGAGTATTCATATAAAAACGTTACAGGACTAATGATTATTTTGGTATATCAAAAACACTTGAATGGATAACTGGTTTTTATACATATTTAAGGAACAAGCAGAAAGAAATTCAGGATAAGGGAGCAAGTTTTATGCTCATTGGGGAAGCAATAAGAAGGAAAAACTAACCTTCCCCCCTTAGCAGTGTCCACTAAGAACCAATCAAACACATATTCATGAGGAGGAGCATTCATAAGTTTACCATCATCATCGACAATGAAAGGGCATGAAGCAATGGATGGGATTTATCTTCATGGAGCTGCATATGGGAAGATCCATATAAGCATTGTGCTGCCCCAAAAACAATTCATAAAACGTAAAGAAAACTACGTAGCTAAGTCTAACCTGGACTAGATTAATAAGGTCACATGAATCAGAAACTCTTAATATGGTCTCTTCATCATCATCCACAAAGACACCAACTGATTCAGCCCTATAAGATTGTGCTACCCTAGATATTTCTTTTGCTTCTGATAATGTGACAGAGTGCTTGGAGTTAGGCCAAAGAATCATGCCAATAAGTTTAGCTCCTGCCTACACCATTATTTCTGCCTCTTTAGCTGATGTGTTGCCGCACATTTTGACTACAGGCTGGATAGCATCTTCATGACGAGGTGGTGAAGATATAACGGTGTTGGATCCATGACCACTCTTCATCCCCAAGCATGACATTTTACCAAAACCGTACCTTGTATGTGCTAAGAAACAAAGTGTAATCAGTAATCACTAGCATAAATAGTTCCGATAAAAGTAATATGCACAGACAAGATACGAATGCCATTTTGATGTTTTAGCTACTAAAATAATAAATCTACATGAAACAAAAAAAGTAAGACAGGTACTCAAGATGTTTTTCAAGAGCACATGGTATACAGTATTTTAAATCTGGAATGCCTTTCAACCCTACACCACCGCTTATTTTAGATATAATGCACACGCAATATTATCTTTGGGCTGGTAAAGTTTCGCTGATACGGTCTACATTTCCATTTGTGTTTTTGATATTTGTATCAGCAAGTCCTTGTGTTTCAAGTGCAAGATATGGTCTACGTCTTTTTGTTTTTGATTTTGAATCAGCAAGTCCTAGTGAGCTACATAATACTATAAAGTTACAGAAAACTATCACTTCTAGCAATTATAACATGCATAAATGATAATCAGGATTGGTTGAGTAAAACAATGCTTTACCATTATTACGGCATTATAGAAATTTGTTGAGGCTGTCTTGCTGAAATTGATGACGACATTACAATGGAAACTGAAGATGGGCTGTGGAAACAGAGAAGTTAAAAAAAACGTGTCATAGATTGCTGCAATGTATAAAACCTCAAAAGTAAACAACAAGACGTAATAACCCCTTCCACTCATGTTGTAAGTGATGAACTCTAATTTGCTAAGGTACAGACAACGCAACTCAGACATGTTGGCGGACCTATTATCAAAGAAAGCAGGTTAAGTTCAATCAAGTCGTTCAACACGGAACCTTTTTTTAATAAAATGAACATGTAACTTGTCAAATGCCACTGTTGCAAAGGTGCTCAGATGAACTGAAATGAAGTCATTTTGAAGTGTCCAGTATTGCACAGCCTAACGTTATCAAAGAGTCCAATAATAAATTCCTAATTCCCCACTCTGCCTCAAATTGATCTAGTGCGCTGAAGAAGAAAACCCACTTGAATGAACCACAGACAAACGGGCCATGGGTTATATGAGCGGCACACTGCACAGCAGACAATCAAGTGACTAACTGAACCGAGAGAAAGAGTGATTTGTTGATTTTGCTTGCTCCTGGTAGAAACATATATCTCCAAAAATCTACTAGAACAAGACACACTCCAAGTGACTAAGCCAATGCAGCTAGGGTTCACTACCATGAAAAGAATAGAACAATCCAGTACAAGTAGACCTGGAGTCCTGGATTGTCGTGTGCCGGTGCAAATGGCATTGCCACAGCAGATTGTGTGACAGAAAAATACATAGTGAGTAGAAAACAGCAGAGGTAGGTGCCATGTGCCTTGGGATTGGACTGGTGTTCATTTCAGCACATAATGTGACATTACAAACAAATTCCAGGAAGTACAAGGGTTCAAATTACAACATTACGATATTACAATGGTTCAAATGAAGCTATTACATACTACTGTGCTGCAAGTAGTTTTGTCGGTCTTCCCACATTTGATTGGCGATTCCCTGCCGAAAACTAACCATGTTTGCAAGTCCATTTGGTTGGGCATTTGTCATTGGAGCATGGTTAATATTGGCAACACATTCAGTCTCAGGTATGATAAATTTATCTATCCCATCATTTATAACCCAGTTGTGAACAGTGCAACAAGCTATAACAATATCTACTTGAGTAGGATAGGAGAAAAATGGCTTGGCCTCATCAAGGATTTTGAATCTCCCCTTGAGTGACCCAGATGCACGCTTTACAGTCGTACGAAGAGAAAAATGTCTGTGGTTAAACAATTCCTTCTCATCTTGAACAAGATTGTGCCCCCACTCATTTAAATGGCACCTCACACCACGAAAAGGAGGCAAGAACCCTGGTTTGGCTCCATGTCCAGCACCAACAAGATAGAATTTTCCTAACATATGAGCAACAAGCGGGTTACTTTGCTATACATAAATAGTGGCATTGACAAATGTAGCTACATCAAGTTACCTTGTGGAACACGTAGACCATTTTCACGTTCTAAGGCATCACGTAAAACTTGAGTATCATGTGCTGACCCCTCCCAACCAGCCAACACAAATGTGAACCGAAGATCAAAATCAACAGCCGCCATCACATTTTGAGTGGCATGGGTCTTTCTACCACGACAGCGAGGCTCCATGTCCTCTGTAACAGAGGCTCGTACATGTGTACCATCAATAACTCCAACACAATCCTATTTCATGAAAATAATAATATTAGGACCTAACCAGATTCATGCCTAGAAAATGAGAACAATGTAGCTGTCACTAAATCCCATACCTTAAAGTATGGATCCCACTGGTGATTCCCTTCTATTTTGGTTGGGGTCGCTAACAAGGGTTCCCTAATAAGGTCATGGCGCAGCTCTCCAATGGCACGGATGACTTTTTTGAAATAACGACTAACAACTTCACCGGTTATACGAAAGTTGTCACCAGCTGGCGTATCCCTAATGTTGTGTCCAACGGTGTGCAAGAACGTGCCAACTTGCTGCTCAACAGACATATGAATCGTGTCTTGGAGCAACCTGCGGTCCCTTAAAAGTCGACAGAACCGGAAGAAAGGTCCTCTTCCAAGCCTAAGCATGTTCAAACAAGTTGCATCATCCTTCCATATTTTGTCCTCAAAATACTGTCTTCTCACCCTATCTGTCTCGTCCATCAGTCCATAACTTATGCATTCAGTCCTACTTTTCCTTTTCCCAGACCGGACAACCAAGGCCGACATGGGCAGAAGCGTATATGACACAGCTGCATAAATTAGCTTCCTTTTCTTATTGTCCGTCTAAATGTACTCGAGAATCGAAACAAAAGAAAACAAAACTGCTTCAGGATGACATACACAAAACTGAACTATATTCTTCTCTGAACTTCAGCTAACTGAACATACATGCAGAAACGTACACACAACAATCACCGGTAAATCCTCTAAACATATCGAGCAGCTAGGGTTCATACCAGAGGGGGAAATCACCGAAGGGAGAGCTGCTGCCCGCCCTGGTCGTCGGCTTGCCGTCGGTGTCCTGGTTGCCTCCTTCGCGCTGCAGGTCAGAGAAAAATCGGAGAAAGAGGAATCAGTTCAGAGAGACATCCGGTGAGAGAGAAAACGGATCTGAGAGGAATCGGAGCTACATTCAGCTG